TAACAAGATATATATTGCATTTTATCACGTTAAAACAAGAACCAATATTCCGATGCTGCATGCAAGACGCGTCGTCACGGTTATATTTCACGCTTCTCAGGCTCAATTTCCACAAACGTTTTACAACTGTCTGAAAGCCGCCGACAAAATTACAAGGAACAGTTAGCGCGTTTCGACGAAGCCGGCGTCTGATTAACCGACTCCTCGCGATAAATTACGAGAGAGGAACACCCCGTTTGACAGATAGATAAAACCATGAACTCGCGCAATGTCACGATTCTATGCACTCTAATGGCGTGTACGGAGGATTATTTCTTTTCCCAGCGTCATTCATACCTCGTGGAATGGAACGAGGAGGTGCCCGCCGATTGTGAAACGCTTCCTAGAAATACAAACCGATTCGTACGAGTAACGTGCACGACTGATCCGTATTATCACCGTACCGGTGTCCAATTGCAAAAACTGATTCATTCGAGCGCGTATTCGCGTAACGCGTGTCTCGTGTTACGAGATCGTGGATCGAGATGGCGTCGATCGAAGAGGAAGGGTTATTTGCGTACAAGACGTTCCGCGCGTATAATCTCGAGACGACTCGATTCGAAAATTTAATTCAAGCTGAACCAAATATTCGGAATTTTCTTCGTTTCGAACGAACACGAAAAATATGCAACGAAGAAGAAGGACTCGTTTCGAAGGGTGTCAAGGAAAAATCTTTCCGCCAACGACGATAAGATAATACTAAGATAATACTTACGCTGTAATAATTTGCAATTAAGAACTTTAAGAATTTTATCATCGGGTAATTATTAATGTTCCAAGGATCGACGGATAAGGATCGTAAATAAATGATACGTACGTTCCCAAGATCGCGATCGTATCGTCGTGGAAACGTTTTCTCGAAGCGATCATCCATGAATCCGCAGATTCTCGCGGACATACTTATTTTTCTCTCTCGAAGAAGAAGATTGCTAATTATCCAATTAGAATTTCAAATTCGAGCGATACCGCTTCGAGTATCGTCCAACGTTATCCATCCGATTTACCTTATGTACCAACCTTTCTCGGTTTTTCCGTTCGATGCTATTTTAAAAGAGATCATCTGTGTTGTTTTACTTCATGTTTTCGCCGACGCAGCGCGCGTTTTCCACGCCCACGCGAAAAATATAAATGGCACGATCCGATCCGAGGAAAACTCTTTCGATTTCCTTTTTCCAAATTCGTTTCTTCGATTCGGAAGTGACGCGCATGGCCTTAATTAATTGAACGCGCGTCAAGGTTAGATAATGATTTTCCTCTGGCGATAGGGAACGAGCGGTGTGCGCCCCGCGCTTCTGTCCAATCCGTTTTCGCGATAATATGCACGGCCGGTTTTGGAAACCGGTTTCTCTTTCCTCGAATAAATTGAACCGATCCTTTTTTTTTCTTTTTTTTTCTTTTTTATAAACCATCCTCACGTATATGCATATGTATACGAGGCCAGAAATTTTTTAATGGGTCGTGAGCAATTTTTTTTTTCTTTTTTGGGAATCGGCCTCTTCTTTCGCAAGAATTATTACGCCCCGTGATTGGCGATTAAAGGAGAAAGTAGCGGAGACAATGTGGGGATCGCGACTGGAGATATCGGCATATGCATATAAATTCTAGCAAAGAAATTTCGAAATTAATTAGAATATGTCACGTTTCTTTTACGATCTTCCTCGATTATTAATTTTGATTTCGAAACTCTTCGACGATACTTTTCCAATCCCTCTCCTCCCAAATGTCAGCATTTCGATGTTTCTTTGTTTATCAATTATTATTCCCTCGGCCAAAAATGTTACGCAAGAATTCTATAAAAAAAAAAATACCAAGTTTCTTTGACGTTGTTCCACGTATGCAAATTGTCCATAATTTTGAAATTTAATCACGACGAGAGGTCTCGTAGAAGTGCAAGGCAAGTTTTCAATATATTCGACATGAGCTCGAAAATTACAGCATCGAGGATAATTTGATGTGTGTTAATTTCGTGGGAAACGAGCGCGCGACGCCTGGATTCGCGAAATAATCACTCTATCGATTAACGTTTCTCGCCGAAGATTGCGCAACCCGTGCGTTTGTTAGTCATCGAAGAGGGGAGAGGTGGGAGGCGAGAGAGAGAGACGCGTAAGTGGCGGTGATTGAAAATAACCGGTCGCTTTTGTCGGTTCTCGCATCACGTAAATTAACGACAGAACCGAGACACGGCCGCCCCCTATTTGTTGTACAGAGATGGGCGCTTAGCCTTTTGCAATTGGACGTAAATATTGGTTTTCGAGCAACGATTATGCTTCGAGCTTCGTTACGCTCTCTGCTTGTATGCAAATCCCGCACAACCTTTTTTGGAACGGTGAATTCGATGTGGCGTGTTCTCTCTCTCTCTCTTTCGAGACGTGTTCCGGTTACCTCGTTGAAGTTAACTTAACGCTAGAATTATAATGCGTGTAATACGATTAAAACAGGATTATAACCGAGAAAAGATATTAATTTTGTTAAAAGTATCTACACGTTTTTGCGTAATAAGCGTGAAAATGATAAATTTGAAACTTGTTCCCTATATCTTTGCCGATTTTTCACGATTTTAAATCGAGATAAACATTATGGATCTATTTTCGTGATATAATTCCTCCATAATTCATACGTATGGATATCCTATTATCTACGATATTTATCTAAAATTTTTAGATTATTCTTAAAAAAAAAAAAAAAATAAAAAGGTGAATAAATATATAGATAAGAATACGTGGTAAAGTGATTCGCAAGCAAATCTTATTCATGTAAATTGCATTCTCTCTAGATAAAATTTAATACACATGCAAGCGCACCACGTCTCCCACAATTCTTCCATTCGTTTTTTCATCCTTTCCTTCTTTCTTTTTTTATAATTAATCCGCGAGAACGCTAGCTTATCTTGGATCGCCCTTGTACTTCAAGGCGGCGGTTATATTTTTCTTCCGTAGCACCGTTTCCACGGTTCGCAGAATTCGGTCAATGCACGCCCTACGTCGCCTCTCTCGAAGGCGAGGAATGCACCGTCGGTCACGTTGCATAATGCAGTCGCAATGATATATCCCCCTTTTTCTCTCTCTACATCGTGCGCAGCATGCGCGATGCGCGCGAGGATAACGACGGTATATTTTTCGGTGGACGTTGCCAAAAAGTAAGGGAGCGTTGTTGTTGTGTACTTGGGCCGGCGATAGAGGGACTCGCGTCGAAGCCTCTCGAGGCCAAGGTTAAGGTCGGACCCCCACCGTGCACAGCTCTGCGCGCCCGACTTCCCGTGCGCCGCCCGTGCTTCGTTTGTTTCGCCTCGTCTTCCTCCTATTCCGACGTAACTTCCTTTCACCGGCCGCCACCGCGATTTTTCTCTATCCAACCTGGACGGGGACGAGAAGCAACAACTTGTATCGTCTCTCTCCACTCGTACGAGGTGTAGATGCTTGTAATAAATGGGAATTTAAAAGCGAATCGAAAACGATGGATGGAATTCAGAGGGCGAAATTTAATTTTGGAATGAATATATACCATATTTGGAAAATCGATTGTTGGAAAATCGAAAGTTTTTTTGAGAGCGAGATCGCTAGGCGATGGAGAGGACACGTCTCATTAGTATTCGCGAATATGTTAAGTCGACGTGGATTCGTGTAAACGAAGTTCTACTTCGTACTTTCCTGATGCGTATTTTCTTCGAGCGCCGTGCAACGGAAACCTAAATGGCTACCGAAGAACTTACATCATTTGGTGAAAGCGATTACGTAGAATGCGATAAAAAGCAGTCAATGAGAAATAATTAAAATATATTTTCTAGTAGCCGCCATCCTTCCAATCTTCGAATCTTTCTCGACAATTCCAACATTTCATTCTTCTAATAATATATTCCCTAGACACCAAGATCCAAGAAAATCGAACTTCGTCATTCTATCATCATTCCTCTCTCTCTCTTCCCCAAATTTCCCGAATTTCCTTCCCATTGATTTCATTTTCGAAGTAACGAAACTTGTCCCGGCGCGCAAGCACCTCCAAGGAGGGGAGGGGGGTTCCATTGTGGAATTCCAAGCCCCGGACAAGAGAAGTTTACTCCTTTATACGGCGGTAGGTTTCGACGTCAGTCGCCAGGCAATGGAATCAGACGCGAGGGTCAGTCGAGCGTGAAACGCAGATACGTGCTCTGGCAAAACACGCGGCCTCTCTTGTGCTCCTCGCGCGTGTCGAATCCACAATTCGGTATCCGTGGAGCCGGAGGCGCGGTATAGACGTTTCGAAAATTATCTGGCCGACCGATTTCCCTCTCTGCCGCAGCTTTTTACGCGTCGATCGGTTGCGCGAGGGTTGCCGTGCTCGCTTCAAATTTTTCCTTCCATTCGGCCGGGTTTATGTTCTCTCTCCTTCTCTCTCTCTCTCTTCAACACGCGTGCGTTGTACACACACACACACACATGCACGATAGAGCAACGACGGTACGTGTCCTCCGCGAGCTCGTTTTCATCGGCTTGCGAGGATAAACGTACGAGCTCAAAAACCGACCGACCCCTCGCGTTACACGACACACCGAGGGTTATCAAGCGAAGGGAGGAAACCCGGGAATTATTATGTATCACGAGAGACGCGCGGGAACCCTGATTTTTTTTTTTTTTCTCTCTCCTCCTCCTCCCGTCAAGGATTTTAAAGGGATCATCCTCGCATCCGGGAGAAACTTTTTTTACGCGATGTGAATTTTTTTTTGCGGGGGAGAGATATCATTTCTTTGCCAGAATTCGCGTATTATTGTTACGCGAAATTATATTATCGAGACGAAAGTATTATTATTCGAAAGGGAAGCGTGTCTTCTTTCATTGTTTCGTCGAATTATCCGTGAAAATTTTCTACGGATTTCATTGTTCGTATCTTGGTTCGATAATCGAATAACAGGTGAATCGGAGGATAAATAAAATTGGATAAATAAAATGGAATTAGATTGAGCTAACATTGGCACGTTTTTGTTGCAGGCAAAGCTGCGGTGCGAATGGAATCTTCTCTCGTCGCCTGGACTTCAGCGCCTTCAACAGCCTGCCGCGCACTAAACTCAACTCGTATCACATAAAGGTAAGCGAACGGATTCCATTCTTCGTTTCGAAAGTGTGCATCCTGTGCGAGATATATAAGAGGGATATGTTTTTCATTTCGAGAATGCACGTGTTTAAGACTCGGGGAAAGTTTGAAAATAGAAATAACCTCGCTAGAAAAGGCGAAGAGAGGAAAGGATTCCTTAAAGCGGAAGGTGCGCGCGATAGATAGAGCAAGGTCACGGTGAGTGCTTGGCATATCCTCTTTGCTTCGAGCCTCTCTAAGAAAATCCTCATTTCTCTCCTTTTTATTCGTATAGAGCGAGGCTGAATGATTAATGAATAATCATGATTAATTAGGATACTTCTTCCCTCGATCCAAATTTCTCCCTCCCTTGTCAGATTTCGTCAAATATTCATTTAAAAAATATATTCCAAATATTTCGTCTTAATAATTAGTTATCGTACGAATTAAAAAAAATAGGAAAATTAATATTTTCGCGATAAATTGGCGCCCAATTTCGATCCTCCTCCCCGCAATTTGTTTATTCGACGCTGTTGGAACTCGCACGCAACTCCGATCATTCCGCCCTTGTTGTTGATAACGCCATATGCGTCACGTATCAGTCAGTCAGCCCTCCCCTCATCTCGCGCGAAATATTCTCTCACGCGAGCTTCGTTTCGCTTTCCACACCCCCTCCCATGACGAATCCTTTGGCTCGCCGTTAGCTCGTAACACTGTCGTCCTACCCCAAATACGCGAGGGAAAATCAATACGGCGGTTTCGTGCATTCGCGCCATACACGCACACCACCCTCCTCTCCCCTCTCCTCGCGTGCATGCTCGCGTGTTTCGTTTATTACGGCGGTATCTTCGCGTGTGCACACGCGAGATACGCTCGAGGGAGGGAGAGAGTCGTAGAACTCTCTCTCTCTCCTCCTCGTCGTCGAAGGCCTCCATCGATCCTTTTAATCGCCCCTCGGGCGACGGTGTTGGGATAATACCGCGTTGCGGTAGGTCGATCGATGAACGAGATACGGCGCAAAATAACGTTTCGGAAGGAATTTACGATGATTCACGCCGATCTCTTCGAGAGCCGCTTTTGATCGATACGCCAAGGGTGTCTCTCGTAAAAGCCACGTTTCTGAATTAATTTGATTAATTTTCCAATCGATCGAGTGAAAATTCAAATTAAGCGCCATTATCACTTTTCTTTTTCTCTCTCAGTAATCGTGTATCTCGTCCCGTAAAGTTAAAAAAAACGATACCGTCGACAGAACGGTCCCAGAACTGCTCGCGTTTCCGCGCCGTTTCGAACGCATCGTGGCGAATCGATTAAACGGATTACAAATAGATTAAATGACACGGTTACACGGTGGTGTAAATTCGACGGCCGATAAAACTGGGGAGGCGGATGAAATTAATACGCGCCGGCGAGGAGGATTAATACCCGGTAATCGTCGAACGCGTGATTTATGTGGCGGAAAAACGGGCCCGGTCCAAAGGTATTTCGCGCTTGTTAGAGACCACCCCGTTGCGTGTCCCTATGTTTAATAGCCGGCCGCGCGTTGCCTCCTAACTTTCAAATTACCCACCATTTCGAGAGCTCTTTCGTGCGTTTGAAAAAAGAAGGAAAGGGCGAAAGAAGGGAAAGAGGAAAGGAGAGAAGGAACGAGCTAGCAAAATAGCCGGGTGCGTTCGTCTTCCCCTCCCGTAAGTGGCGGCGAAACGAGCAACCATAACGGGGCACGGTATACATATATATATATATATATATACACATTCACCCTTCTCGTGTTTTCGTTAGCCCAGGACCTGTGTGCGCTCCACCGAGGGTTACCGCCGAAAAACATCATCGAGGAGAGAAAGGGTTAATTTGTGACTCGTCTACCCGTCGTTAGCATCCACGGTTTGAAAATTCCTGAATATTGTTGAGAATAGGGCAGTCCATGAACCGCGAGAGAAAGGGGGAGAAGGGAGGAGGGAGCGTTGTACGTTATACTCTTTTGCGTCTGGCTTTTTCGCCATAACCTTTCATCGCTCGACGCTACGTTTCTCTCTCTCTCTCTCGAGGAAGGTAGCCCATAAAAGACTCTCTCCTCCCCGGTTTCGCCTCTCCATCGTCCACCGCGGCCCC